GATTCTTCAAGAACTTTGTTCTTCCAGGTATGTAAGACTATCATAGTGTTAGACTAGTTTGTCCACACGCCCTACATCTACTTTCAAATCAGTAAAAAAGAAATCTAGAATTTCTTTCCCTAGACTTGAATATTCTTGAGATAAGTTGATTTTGAGTTCTTGAGTTCATGTTTTTTTTTAAATTCTATTCCTAATTATTGAGTTTCTATATTGTTACCGAGATCCTCGAGTTGATTTGTTCATGTCTATATTTCAGCATGAACCCTATTTTGAGTTATAAATTTTAAAAAGCTTTTCAAAGCCAACACAGAGTTCTTCTACTGAGTTTTGAGAAAGTAAAGATGAGTTTTGAGAAAAGAGTTTTTAAAATATGATTAGTATGACATCAATGTATGAGCAGTATGGTATATATATATATACCATCAATGTTTATGCAGTATGACTTCCCGAGTCATCAATGATCATATTAAAATATGATTTTTATATGTTTTGAGAAAGAGTTTTCAAGTATAAATTGAGTAAGAGTATAAAAGGGACTATGTATTCCCAAAGGTATCATTTTTTACATTTATAAAAGAGAAACTGAGATTTCTAAATGAGTTTAAAAGATATTTCAAGAGCAGTTACCTCTTTTAAGAGAGTAGTTTGAGAAATTATCTCAAACCAGAGGAAGAGCTATGTTTTTAAACCTTGAGCATGAGTATATATATTATTGGAAGAAGAATTGAGCACCGATATGGGGGAGAGTTCAAAGAACTCATAGCCCCCATAAACCATGTATGCCAACATGGGCAAATGATCATACTTTTTCGATGAATCCTTATTGCTTAGTGGATCCACTTAGTTGAGGAGTCCTATATCCATAAACCATGTATGCCAACATGGGCAAATGATCATACTTTTTCGATGAATCCTTATTGCTTAGTGGATCCACTTAGTTGAGGAGTCCTATATCTGATGAGTCCACAAATTGGACTCATTTAGGGGTTTATTTTAATAGAAATTGTGTCCTCAAATGCTTATTTTATCTTAATATCTGATGAAAACACGTAAGTTTCAGGTATTTGAATTTTGAAGGAAAGCATGGACACTACTTCGAAAAAAGGAACAAAAGGGCTGAAAAGAACGAAGAAAATGAAGGCCTGAGGATTGCCGAGTCCACTTGGCGAGTCGCCGAAGGGTCTCACTTCGCCTTTTGTTCGAGTGTGCTGAGCCTGACGGAAAGGATCAAGTCAGCATAAAAAGGAAGCAGTCGGCACATCCCCGTGATGTTCCACGAGGCAGTACTATGTCGCCCAATGACCCAGAGCACGATGATGCTGAAGGATGGTGCAAGACGGCGATGAACTACATCAAGGTGAGAATCGCCAAATGATTCGCTGTAACGCATATTTTTGAAAACTATAAATATTCGTTGAGAGTTTTAACTTAAAGAGAAGATTCGAAGTGTGAAACAATTATTATAATTTTCATATAGAATAGCACTTTTTATTTTGCTTTGAGTTTGAGAGGGTTTGGAAAACTTGAAGAAGAAGAGGGTTTCATCACTAAGGATTTGGACTTGGGTCTCTTGGATTCTTCATTCTTGGCCTGTAACAAGTCTTATATCTTCATACCCATTTGAATGCAAGCTCATTTAGGTATAAATTTATATCTCTTGATGTGTGGCTAAAAACCCCAATTTTTGGGGTGTGATTTAGCGAATATGGGTTAAGATAATTGTTGGGTCTTGCTCGCTGATAGTTTAAATGTAGCTTAATGGTGATTTTGTCTAGTAGTTGTGGTTGAATCTAATGGATTTGTAGTTGCAAATACAAGTTCACTCATGTGTTTTCAGCTTGCTCGAGAGAGAAGTCGGGAAACCAAGACCACTAGTTTGATGACCTAAGGATTGGGCCGACATGAGGCTCAGCCCGAGAGGGTGAGCCCTAGTCCCATATCCTAACACTCAGCTCGAGAGAGTGAGTGGGGTAAGGCGTAGGTTGGTCTTCATGTGGCAAGTGGGTGTCCGAAAGGGACCCATTTGAAATAGGGTAAGTTGCTCGAGAGAGAACTTATCTCTACATAAAACTTAGCCTAGTCACTGTTACTCTATAAATTTTCTATCGAAAGCATGTTCCCAATACTTTAGATTAACCCGTATTTCGATCACATCCCAAGAATCACCCTCTCATTGTTAAATTTTCTTGTCAATCTTACAAATTTTTACATACTTGTGTTAAAACCCCCATTGTTAATTGACACTTTTGTGTCCCTCTTTAATTTACAATGTTTTCAATTGTTAATATCTTTAGCTACAACTAGTTAGAATGGAATTTTGTTTTTCTATAAATTCTCAAAACCACTCCTTTGGGACAATCCCAACCCTTGGTTGGGTTATTATACTATTGCACGATTGTAGACACCTGAACTGTAAGGCATGTCGTTGATTACGCAAGCATCAAAATGGCGCCGCTACCGGGGAGTGTTGTTATTTGAGAATTTTTAGATTAGTAGATTTTTTGTTCTCCTTAGTTGTAGTCTACTAACATAATTTTTAGTTTTGTTTTGAGTGTTTGTGTGTTTCAACAGCCATATGAGTGTGAACGGCGAAAATAGCTTCCAAATAGGCCATCCAATGGGGTATGCTTTTCATCGAGACGATATTGATAATATCAATAGTGTGTACAACCCTGCCCAAGTGGGTGAGATGGGTGCAATTTGCATGCCACAAGCAGACGGAAGTGCAACATTTGAGGTTACTAGCACAACACTATATCTCATACATTCAAGAGGCTTATATGGAGGGTTGGAGCATGAAGATTCATATGAACATATACGAAGCTTCATAGAAGTGTGGATCCCTCTATCATTCAAAAATCTATCGCACAAATGCATACGGCTGTGCCTATTTCCATTATCATTAACAGTGGAGACCACTAAGTGGTTGGTCAAGCTTCCAAAGAACTCCATCAAGTCATGGGAAGAGTTGGTTACGGCTTTTTATGAAAGATTCTTCCCTCCATCAAAGATGATGAAACTGAGAGACGACATTCAAAACTTTAATCAAAAGGAGGGCGAACCAATTCACGAATCATGGACACGATTTAAGAGATTTTTGCAAAAATGTCCAACGCATGGACTGCCAAGTGAGTTATTGCTTCAATATTTTTACCGTAGTCTAGATTCAGTTAATAAAGGGATAGCTGATCAGCAGGTGCAAGGAGGAATAATGTTACAATCATTTGAAGTAGCCTCATTCCTCCTAGATGGCATGACTGGAGTAAATCAAGCATGGTACACAAAAGATGAAAAAGTTTCCCCAGTATGCTTCAGATTAACACAAGAACAACTCGATAAAGAAAGGGAGAGGGACGAAAACATCAAAAAGATGTTGTCTCAAATGGAAGTGATACAAGAGCACATGAAGGGGACGTATGGAGTATTTCGAGTTGAGGAGGGTTCTTCTTCTGGTTACTTAAGACATAGGGAGAATCAAGGTTGGAACTCCAAAAGAGTTGAGGGGGGTTTTTCATCCGGTTACTTAAGACTGGGGGAGAATCAAGGTTGGAACTCTATAAGATATAAGGAGGGTTTCCACCCACGCTATCAACAGCGAGGCAGAATTCAAGGTTGGAACCATTATAGGGGTGAAGAACCAAGGAGATATTGTCATGATTGGGCTGAGCAAGATGATCATGAGGAAAACCATACTCAATTGAATGAAAGCCCAAAATCAAAAGGGAGTGCAAGTAGTCCTCGAGTAAATGATCTATTGTCACACATACTTGATAAAGTTGAGGGCTCTGATGATTTGCTAAAAGGGATGAGAGATGACATTTCATCATTAAACAGTAAAGTGAATTCTCATGCTGATTCCATCAGAACACTAGAAGGTCAATTGAGTCTATTATCAGCTCAATTAACATCCAGGACACTGATGGAAGATAATGAAAGGGGGTTGGCTGTAGTTACCCGTAGTGGAAAGATGGCAAAAGGGAATGTGATGGAGGATGAGGATCCTTGAGTGTGGGAAAAGAGCCAGGGTATAGAGGAACAAGAATTGCCTAGTCCATAAAACCTTGCCAAAGAACCACAAGAGGATGCAGATCAACATGTTCAAGTTCCAAAAGTCACGCATCCTTTACCCAAAATACCTCCACCATTTCCTCAACGTTTGAAAAGGAAGAATGAAGATGAGAAGTTCAAATTTTTTTTGTTAGTATTCAAGGACTTATCAATTAACCTGCCTCTGGTGGAAGCATTGTTGGAAATGCCAGGATACGCCAAATTCATGAAAGAGCTGGTTACAAAGAAGATGAGCTTGGAGTATGAAACGATTAAGGTGCCCCATAGTTGCAGCGCAATTATGACAAATGAGTCAATCACAAAGAGAGAAGATATTGGGGCATTCACAATCCCGTGCACAATTGGCATGCTCAAATTTGCTAAAGCTTTGTGCGATTTAGGAGAAAGCATTAATTTGATGCCCTATGCAATATACAAGCAACTTGGTTTGGGTGAACCAAAGGCAACCACAATGAGACTCATTATGGCTGATCGATCAATCAAGAACCCAGTGGGGATACTCTATGACATATTGGTAAAAGTAGATCGGTTCATCTTTCCAACTGATTTTGTGATCCTAGATTGTGAGATCGATGTTGATATTCCCATTATTTTGGGAAGGCCATTCGTAGCTATCGGGAGAGCATTGGTGGATGTCGAAAGCGGGAAATTGAAGTTCCATGTGAACAATGATGAGGTGACCTTCAATATCTGTAAATCCATGAAGCAACCAAGAAATATCCATGTAGTGTCTACTGAGGATGTTATAAATGAGGCGGTGGCAAGTTTGAGTCATTTAATGCGCAAGAATGAACCCCTTGAATCTGTACTTTCCAATTATGATGAATCTGAAGTTCAAGGCTATGAGGAAGTGGTAGTTGCCTTATCAGGGTTAGGAGTATATTCAAGGAATCCAATCAAGTTGGATATCGACCTGAAAAATAGAAAAAGTCCTCCTGCAAAGCCATCAACAGAAGAACCACCGAATCTGGAGTTAAAAGCCCTACCCTCTCATCTCAAATATGCCTTCTTAGGAGCCAATAATATGTTACCAGTGATTATTGCAGCCGATTTTCTTGAAAGGCACGTGAAATTGCTCATTGAAGTACTGCAAAAGCATATAAAAGCTATTGGATGGACAATAGCCGATATAGTAGGAATTCCTCCCGGCATCTGTACTCACAAGATTAGGCTCGACAGTGAATGTAAACCTAGTGTTGAGCATCAACGAATATTGAACCCTCTAATGCAAGAGGTGGTGAAAAAAGAGATCATAAAGTGGCTAGATGCGGGAGTAATCTACCCTATTGCAGATAGTAAGTGGGTGGGTCCGGTGCAATGTGTACCAGAAAAAGGAGGTATAACCGTAGTCCCTAATGCAAAAGGAGAACTTGTGCCGACAAGACCAATGACTAGGTGGAGAGTATGCATGGACTATCGAAAGCTTAACTCATGGACTGAGAAATACCATTTTCCAATGCCTTTTATGGACCAGATGCTTGACCGTTTACCAGAAATAGGGTGGTATTGTTTTTTGGATGGGTACTCCAGTTACAATCAAATCTCTATTGTGCTGGAAGACTAAGAAAAAACAACTTTCACATGCCCTTATGGAACATTTGCATCCAAAAGAATGTCATTCGGACTATGTAATGCACCAGCAACATTCCAGCGTTGCATGTTGTCTATTTTTGCAGATATGGTAGAAGATTCTATGGAGGAATTTATGGATGGCTTCTCAATCGTAGGGGACACATTTGAGGAATGCTTGACACACTTAGGATAGGCGCTCCAAAGATGCGTGGATACGAATCTGATTCTCAATTGGGAAAAATGTCACTTTATGGTGAAGGAAGGTATCGTTCTTGGGCACAAGGTATCGCAAAAGGGGCTGGAAGTTGACAAGGCAAAAATTGAGGTCATTGAGAATTTACCCCCTCCAATTTCAGTGAAGGTTGTTCGCAACTTCTTGGGGCATGCAGGTTTCTACCGAAGGTTCACTAAAAACTTCTCTAAGATTACACATCCACTATGCAAACTCCTAGAGAAGGAAGTGAAGTTCTATTTTAATGATGCTTGTATGGCCGCTTTTAAGTGCTTGAAAGAAAAACTAGTATCCACCCCAATTATCATCAGTCCTGATTGGTCCAAATCTTTCGAAGTAATGTGTGATGCTAATGTCTGGCATTGGGAGTAGTGTTGGGGAAAAAGCACAACAAGCTATTTCACCCAATTTATACGCAAGCAAAACTCTGAATAGTGCCCAGCGAAATTATATAGTCACTGAACAAGAGTTGCTCGCAGTGGTCTATGCATTTGAAAAGTTTCGGGCATACTTATTAGGGACCAAAGTAATAGTACACATTGATCATGCTGCACTCCACTACTTGATGGCAAATAAAGATGCAAAACCAAGATTGATAAGGTGGGTGTTACTATTACAAGAGTTCGATTTTGAGGTTAAAGATCGAAAAGGCTGTGAAAATCAAGTGGCCAACCACTTGTCGAGGTTGAAAGGAAGGGAAGATGCCGAGCGTGAGGTTGACATAGACGACTCATTCCCCAACGAACAGGTGTTTGCTATATCTCTCAAACCTGCACCGTGGTATGCAGATTTTGCAAATTACATTGTGAGTGGATTGATGCCGGATGGGCTGACCTTTTACCAACAAAAGAGGTTCATGTTCGACGTTAAAAAGTACTTTTGGGATGAACCATACTTGTTTCGAGAATGTGCTGACCATGTTATTAGGAGGTGTGTTCCAAAAGAAGAAGTGGTAGAGACTCTCCATGCTTGCCATGCATCTCAAGTGGGAGGTCACCATAGTGGTATTCGCACTGCCGCTAAAGTTCTCCAAAGTGGTTATTATTGGTCGTCCCTATACAAGGATGCACATAAATTTGTGAAAAAGTACGCTCAATGTCAGCAGCAAGGCGGAGTATCTAGATGGCACAAGTTGCCTCTCACTCCTATTTTAGAAGTCGAGCTATTCGATGTGTGGGGAATCGATTTCATGGGCCCATTCGTGAGCTCATTTGGAAATAAATACATCTTGGTGGCTTTGGATTATGTCTCCAAATGGGTGCAAGCCATCACACTCCCAAACAAAGAAGGAAAAAGTGTTGTCCAATTTCTGAAACGCTACATCTTCGCAAGATTTGGCACTCCTAGAGCGATCATTAGTGATGGGGGGTCCCACTTTTGCAATAGGTGGTTTTCAATGGCGCTGAGCAAATATGGGGTGAAACACAAGGTAGCAACCCCATATCATCCTCAAACAAGTGGCCAAGTCAAAGTGTCAAATCGTGAAATCAAAAGCATCCTGGCAAAAATAGTAAATGCCAACAAAACTAACTGGTCCAGGAAACTCGATGATGCACTATGGGCATATGGGACCGCTTACAAAACACCTATCGATATGTCTCCATATCAGTTGGTTTATGGTAAGGCTTTTCATTTTCCCGTCGAGCTAGAACACAAAGCATTGTGGGCATTGAAAGCTCTAAATTTGGACTGGTCCAAAACATCAAGGGAGACGGTGGAGCAGTTGAACGAACTGGATGAATTTAGACTCAGATCGTAGGAAAGTTCAACCATCTACAAAGAGAAGATGAAGAAATGACATGATGCTCGGATACTCAAGCGGGACTTCAAGGTAGAAAATTGGGTTTTGTTATACAACTCTTGACTTAGACTCTTTCCCGGAAAGTTCAAATCCAAATGGTCTGGACCTTTTAGAGTAACGCGAGTGTTCACCAATGGTGCCATAAAAGTTGAAGATCAGGAAGGACCTCTATTTAAAGTGAACGGTCAACGTTTGAAATTATATTTCGGGGATTGTCAAGAGATTTCTTTGGTTGAAGTGGTGTATTTGGAAGCCGCCTGAAGGCGCTGCTGCATCGTGCCACGACGTTAACTAAGGCGTTGTTTGGGAGGCAACCCAAAACTCTTTTAATTGCTTTATTATTTCTGGATAAAATAATGGTGTGTTGATTGTTCAGATGGAAGTGTGGAGAGTGAACGAACAGTATAGATTGACAAACAACAGGTCCAATCGGTGAATCGCTGAACAGTTAGGCGACTAAGAACTAGACCGCCGTTAGACTCAATACCATCTTGCATTGGAGTCTGTAAACTTGGCGATCAAACGAAATTATTGGCAAACCGCCGACCATGTCGGCGATCCCAACAGAGACTGCCGTTTGGACCCCTCCGTAAATCAGAGGCTTTGTAAATTTCGACGAAGAAAGTAAATAGTCGGTGTTTCGCCGAGTAAATAGGTGAGCTTGACTAATGCCGCCGAGTGGGCAAAAATTGGACAGCTTTTGCATGCCAAAGGTTTAAAAAATTTCAACTTCTTTCACTTTCCCTCACTTTCTATTTGTCCAAACTCACACCTGCACTCTAGTTTTTATATTTCTTGCACTTTTAGAGTATTTTGATTCATTGATTTGTGCACGGATTTGGATTGCATTGCCGCCTAGCTTCTCGGTAGCATTTCAATCAGTATAAAAGAAGCTGAAGCTGAGCAAAAAGAAAAAGAGAACCAAAATGACAATACTCCGGGCACTGATGCCCAGACAGATGGAACTCCTTCTTAGACAAGATTCCCTCTTTGCCTCCTTCTCTGTCTTTCTTTATTCTGCCTTTCAGATTCTGTGTTAATTGCATTTGAGGACAAATTGCTTTTATTTGTGGTGGGGTGAGGCTCACCTTTTGTGTGTTATTTGCGATTCGCGTTTTGTATATATTTGGGCTGTCTATTTATAAATTGTGTTTACATTGTTTTTGTAGATGTTTGAGCTCATGGTTCCTTTTGTTTTAACTTACAAAACGATTTTGACCCTTTTGAAAATTTTTGAATTTTTTGCACATTTTTGCCACCTCTCATGTGTTGAATGTGGCTGTTCTTTTGCAAAAAAAAAATTTTGAGTCTCGGTTTCGATCAATACCGATGA